TGTTCTAGCTTTTTTCCGAAAAACCTATAGAAAATTACTGATGCCTTTATTGAAATCTCCCTATTTTGTTGAATCTCCTCAAAGTCTCACTATTTTCTCCCTTATTCTTCCTTTAGTGGATACGTAGCACCGTAGCTTCCTTCAGTCGTCGATTTCCCTCCTATTCAACACTCCTACGTAAGAGATACTTGAGCACTGTCAGCTCTCCCAGCAATTTTTGAACACCAACTGTTCCTTTTCTTTTTTCAGTGCAGGGTAGTCGAATTACACGATTTTCGACACAATCTCAGCCTATCTGCCACACCTCTGCTATAACGAACCGTTAACTTTGCGATCTTTGGAGGACCAGGCTCACGGTACCGTTCTGGGAAGCTGTGTTCTGGGGAAGTTATGTGAAGCGTGTTTAGGTGATCTGGCCCTACAGGTGAGGAGGGAAGGGGGTAAAAGGCACTTCTCTCACAGAGCGTGCGTCTATGATATCAAATTAGAGATTAGCTGAACCTTGACCCGTTGGGTGTGGCGGTGTTCCATTCACGAGCATTAAACTTTGGACGTGTAAATATTTATTATATAACTAGAGTGATTTAGAAAGGGAAAAGGGGAGGAGTGAAGGAGCCCGACGGGCCAACACTTGAGACGATTAACCCCTAGCGTGAATTGAGGAAAGAACTCGTTCCAGCCACTGCCGGCTGGCTGCAGCTTGAATACCCTCAACCGCTGGTTACGAAATGCTGGATAACAGGCGGCGTGCCGTTAGTAGCCTCTTGGTTACGCGACGAGCATACGACGTCTTCATTCCTTGCAGTGAAGTCGTCCTCTAGCTTTAAAGGCAGTTGGCACGATAAATCCCCCCAAGACGAGTAGGATTAATACGCCTGGCAGGACGGAATTCCGCGACCCTGAGCAGGCGCTGCATAATGCCTTTTTAGGGAAGGTGCCCTTATAAGGGCCCTATCAAGCCACAACATTACGACCCAAACGCCCGCCACGCCCGCCCGCCCACAAATGGACGACCGTTCCTGACGCTCTAATCGATTCATTTGCTAAGCAAATTATGAAGCGAAGGGATTGGTATGAAGCGGCCGTGATGCTGCATGGATACACATATGCAGCCGTACCTTCGGTAGCGGTTATTGGCAAGATGCCTACAGGAAACTCGTCCAAAATTGATTTCTAACACATTGAGAACGGAGGCTCTTTCTTCGCAGGATTTTGACCGTTTCACTCCGTTCTTTCGCCATTTCCCCCCACTATATAGCGCCCTACTAGGCCGAGCACCAAACACCAAATCATCGTGCCAACTGCCTTTAAGTAATATTCCTAAATTAAAGTCCTGTTGAGTTCGAGTTTTCTTGGATTATATGTTGCTTTAGTCTCAAGCAAGCCCTCTACAGCTCACCGGTGTTGATACACATCTTTAGTTGCCCGTGATAGAGAAAGCTTATTTCTCCTGTAGAGGAGCATCTCAGGAAAACCTAATTTGTCTTGTTGACTAGTATGGCATAAACTTTGATGGTGCATTATGTAAGTAGGTTCATCCTCCTAGTACCCCCCCCCTCTCCTACTTATATTCTAGGCAATATGAACACTTTTCAATGCTGTTTTGCGATATGGTGCGAGTGCTTATCAATACTTCTTTACTTTAGCCGATTTTTCTTCTGTTGTACTGCAATTTGTCGCAGTTTTTCCCTACACCGTTACGCAGTCCACCAACAATGACGTTCTAGTCTATCCTGCTGAAATCGCGATCACTCATTATACCCTTGGAAGTGGTGAGCTGTCGTTTAACGTTTTTTTCCACTGTTTTGTTAGGATTACCCCCGGGAATAATTATCGTTGTTGATTCCATGTTATTTGAAACTCTAAAAACACCAACTTCAGGTGTGAGCTCGTCTTTCTCGAAGCTTATCAACTTCCATCCCAAGTTGTTCTATGGAACTGGTGTACCTGCATGGGATCAGGACAATGTAGAGAAGCGAGGTATCCCTTCTACAGTTTTTTCTCTGTGCGTAGATGTCCAGTATCAAATGTTCATAGTGATTGTATGAGGACTGCTGTCAACGAGCTGATCTTGCGCCGCTCTTAATAGTGGCACTTTTAGCTACCTCTCTGGATGTTTCGTTGAAAGAACCACAAGGAGTTAGTCCCAACGAAATGTGGAGACAGTTCATGGAACGACGCCGTCATTATTCTATCACAGTTTGCGATGAAAATGATATATGGCTTGTGGTGAGGCTTTAATTCCCAATCAGGGCACATCATCCAGTAAGGAAATTGGCAGTATCAGTATGACTTGTTTCAAAACCTACCCGGGCTCCAATTTCCCCCCCCCCCCATCCCTTCCATCTGGCATCGGGGGAGGGGGGAAGGGAATGGCACATCCGCTATCTGAAGGTGCCTTACGACGCCGCTTGAGCCCGAGGAGGGGGGGCTCTCCTTGCGAGCCATGTGAACGAGAAAAGTTTTTATTCGCACGATGACTTTTAAAAGCGGGTAACTTTCTCAAACACTCTCCCCCCCCTCTAACGGCATCATAATAAACGACCAATGTTTAGTATTCAAAAAAACAACTATGAAAAAAACCCTGTTGTATTCCTTGAAAAGATGATGTGCCCTGTCTTCAGTATAACCAGATAGGCCTCAAACCCATGATTTGCCCCCTCCACGAGGGTGCGGCTTTGTTGTACCGGAGAGGGGTGAGGGGGGAGACCAAAAGGATACTTCGTTAGCTGTATGCACCATCAAAGTTTACGTTGTGCAAGGTGGCAGGGTATATGAAAGAACCTAGGTAGAATGGAAATATGTCAAATAGCATAACCTCTGATCTCCCATTCTTGCGATAGGGTGAGAAAAGCCATCATCTCCGACGGGCTCAAGAAGACACACGCTTCTACTTTTCATTTGAAGCAGCTGCGCGATTTCTAGGGTTCAACTAGCGTCCAGCTTGTCTTTATGACAATTGGAAGTCGTCAGCCCCGCAGCTGTAAGCGCATCTGTACGACCCCCCCCCCTCCCTCCCAACAATGAGCAAGTACGACCCCCTTTTACAACGTCCGTGAAGCGAGAAAAATCAACTATCAAAATAAATTTTTCCCAGCCCAAATACGACCCCCCCTCTCCTGGCGGCCAAATACGACCCCCCCCCTATTGGGGATTCCCCAACAACGATGTGCCCTGAAGCGCATTCTCGCTCTGGTTCACGTTTGTTTTTTGACAGCTTGACCTTATAGACGTCATATCACGGGTATCCAACAAGCGTCGGTTCGCCAGATTCCTAAGCGGCAAGGAGTGGGGGTGTCTGCACCTAATCTTTAGAGCATCCATTCACTCATCATCTGAGCATTTATGGTGCGCTCTATGAGCCTGAGGCCTTTTTGGCACCCTTTTTCATAGTTATAACATCTACCACAAGAAGCAGCCACTGACCATTCACAACTTCTTGAGTGTGACATTAATCGTGGAAATGTCAAACTTGCCCTCGTATCACAGTTTTTTTATATTCAAGGACAGCGCGTTGTATTTCTTGGCTAGCACGGCAGGAGAGGATCAACTTCCTGTACATAAGAGGTGAGCTTTCTTTTTTGAAGAGATGAGTTCTCACAGGTTCAGATGCAATACTTCGATTGGTGCTGGTTTAGAGCTTATGGCTGGAATCGTCACTGCTCTGGCATCGCATCACACTCGAGTGTCTAAAGAGCCAGTACAAGAAGCTCTTTCCGTTGAAAAAATCAAGCAAGAGTTTGAGGTTGTTGCAATGTCTATTCCTTTAGTCAGATTCCTTCTACTCCACATGGTCAATGCCTTATAGGCAGTGGGCACGATAATTTGGTTCCTGCAGAATGCAGAGGCACTAATTAGTGCGAGAGGGAAGCAGAAACGAACGAATCGACCGAAAATGCGTCAGTTGGGAAGTAGAAGAGCATACATTTGAGATTAGCCATCGTTGGTCAAGGGAAAAAGCACGGCCCAGTGATTCGAGCGTAAGTGTGGGGAAAAAACATAACTTTGGGCGACTATTAAGCAAACAACGTGACACCCTGAAATTGACTCACTAATATCCATGCGCGGCCTTCGATGAATCTTCGCATGTTCTCTTGCGCAGGTGATATCATACTGATATCATATAATGATTCATTTGTGATATCATGTGCAAGGACAGTCATTAGGCTTCGTTCACTATCAAAAGGGTGAGGGCAGGCCACTTATTCAACACTTCGAGGCGTGGTTTCCGCAAGGGTAGCTGCTACACACCAGCGGAGTGAGGGTACAGGTCGACTGGCAACAACTAATTGCAGTATTTCAGATAGCTAAGGAAAGGGGTTAAGTACTGGACTATCCGAAGGAAGCATTGAAAATAAAGACATTTTTCTGCAAAACGCTTTAACAGGATTTTTTTTCGAACTTCTTGAAGGATTCGGGTTGCAATAGTCTTTCTGCCAGGTCGTTAGGCGACTGTGTTGTTCAGACCTTTCTTTGTTGTCCGTTGTTCAGATCTGAGACGAACTCGGGAATAATGGAGGAGATAGTGCATTTTTGGGATAGTGAGCAGTTCTTGAGCCTCAATGATAAGCTATGCACTTACCTTTGAGAATCCTGGCCCTTGCCATGTGTGAATTGAGCAGGTCCGCAGCTGTAGGAGTAAGCTTCGATAGTTCGGCGACGGCGGGGGCATTTTGCACCTTGGTTACTTTCCATCGACGTGTCGAGCTATGTGGAGAGCTATTTAGTGAAGCTTACAAGAACTGACAGGATTTGTCATGATTACTCGACGAGCTTGCTCCAGCTTCGCAAGAGCTTACAGGTTGCACCAGGGAAGACTTGTGAACCGGAAGCAGTGGAGCAGCGAAAGTGCAAAATGCCCCCCCCCTCTCGCTGTCGCCGAACTGACTTTTTCTTCACTCGGACCTGCGCGAAAATAAATATGGCTATAAGGTAGTGGTAGCTGGATGCCATTCGGCGCCACACCCCCAAGGTAAAGCACGCGGCACGTGGTACGCCGCTACCAGCTGCCTAGCCAGGCCAATCGCGTTTCCTGTCTGCGCCTCTCATTTGAGTGTAGAGCCATGGCAAGCGTTACGCATCTTTTGTAGAGTGACTGGGCAACTCATTCATGAAGTGGGAGGACGTCAGCATTCGGTCCATCAGTTTAAATAAGGGTTGTGAACCACTATCGTTGTAAACCTTCGCTTGTTTGGGGCATACGTCATCATGAAGATCGCAAAAATTACGGTTGACGGAAAATGCGAAAAAACACAGTGCTGCTCACCGCTGAAAGCAGATGGAGCTGTTCAAGCTTGCCAAATTTGACAATTTTTTGAAAATCGCCCGCTTTCAGAGAATGCGAGAGACCTCAAGCTGCTGTAACTATCACAAAAAGAGACCAACCGGACCATCGATCTCGTCAGTTGTGCGCGGTGGCTAAAACTGCATTGCTTATGTTAGTTTTTTTTTTCGTTGAACTATGTCTATGTAAAACTTGCCTCAATTATTGGAAGGCAATCCAAGCTTTTGTCCCAGAAGGCGTGGTGATATTTCGGGAATAAGTGTGCAGCATTTCATTTCCTAAAAGGGCACCTCCTGCCGTTGAGAAAACTGCGAAATACGACCGCTTCCCTTCCCTATCCTACTAAGCAGTCCTCCTACTAACTTCAAAATTTCCCCCATTTCTACCACTTCTGTTACCAAGAAAACTCCGAGTTGGCTCCCCCAGCTTCCCATCCAACTACTTACCACCTTCATCTAAAATTTCACAATTTTACCACTTCTTTTCACCAAAAAAAACTCGGTGGACTGGGCGGACGGCGAGGGAAGGTGCTGTATGCGCAGAAACAGAGGAAACCGTGAAAACTCAGCAGCCGAAAACATTTCCCTCGATAGCAAATTACGACCTCCTCTCTCCTTGTCACCAAATACGAACTTCAGTCCCCTCGCGGAGATTCCCGACGAATGACGTGGCATCTTTCCTGCTCACATCTTCGAGTTTCAAGTACTTGCTATAATACTGCTTTTCAGTGATGCTATTTGCACCCTGTGTTATTCTTGTAATTTGGCTAACTTTCGTGCTGTTTACACCCAACATCCTGAACTTCACACGGTTGACGTCGTTCATTTGGGGAACAGCAGCACCGATCCAGGGTTCGTCATAACAATTACAACGTTGTAAGGAATGTATTTGAGTTCTGCATTGACCTTGTTTCTTCAGCGCTGACGAGAGAGAAGACGATTCGACTGGTCACAACGCGGGGGAAGGTGGGACTTTTATAGTGACAGCGATC